TAACTTCGCTTAGCGCAGTTACCGGAAATAAATAGTTTGTTTTGTTAGCATGGGGTGGCATGCCGCATTGGAACCGTCGATGTACAATAGTAAAAATGAGTCATCATGGCACACAACGGGTTCAGACTTCATGACAATAGAAATGGCTTTATTGTTCGGGTTATCGGAATAACAGGCACCCTGTAGTTTTAAACTGTTAAAGCATTGTTTGAAAAAATTCTTTTTCAGACGAATTTGACGCAACCGAAACTGACTGATTTTTGGATTATCAAGAAATGTACAATACTCTATACAACTATTTGTAGTTAGTGTTATTAGTTTCATGTTTTTTCAATTATAACGGAGTTTATCTGTAAGTATACCGTATTTTATTAATTTTTACCATTTTTTTCCGGCTAACCCGGATTTTCGACAACCCGGATCGGCCTCGGTCCGATTAATCCGAGTTATCGAGGTTCCACTGTACATAAGGTAGGTAGGTACTAGGTACATTTATACTTCTTGGGTTATTTTTACGTACTCTGAACGAACCCCCTATTTGTTGGAAGTTTTTGTGAATGTTGCGTAAATAATTCCTCTATGCAATGGCGCATGTTTTTGAAACAGTTTGTATAATTTTAAAACAGAAGTAAATACAGAGGTATAAAGTATTTATTTTTGTTTTATAGATCTGTCACCAGTGTCATCCACCGAAAAGGAACCCAATAAAGATGAGGCCAGCCTGGATCCAGTGGGGAATAATTGGGATACAGGCGATCTCGCAGAAGTCGCAGAAGTAATAACAGATTCAGATACTCTTATATCAAGATCAAGCGATCCAGCACAAATAACAATTAACTCGAAGACGATTGACCTAATAATAACAGATCCGATTGTGCAAAATTTAAACAGTTTTGACTTTGAAAGCTCAAAAAGGGTATATGACGGATCACAATCACGCTACGCATCAAAAAAAAATATTTTTCTCGAAACTTCGAAATGTGTGAAAAGGTTCGATGAGAGTGGCTCCTATATTCTGTTTCGAAAAAGTGTGTTTTTTGTTTACCGTGTATGTTATTTAATGAAGATCGTACAAAATCTTTTGTTAAAGGATTTAACGATTGGAAAAATGTAAATATAGAATTGAAATGCACGAATCTTCAGAAGAACATTTAAATAACACCAAAACGTTCGTAACTCGGTCTAATTCTTTGGGCAAAATCGATACAGGAATTCACAGACAATTTTTAGATGAAAAGAAATACTGGATTGAAATTCTTCGTCGAGTATTGTCCACAATAAAATTTTTAGCAAGCCGTGGTTTAGCGTTTAGGGGTACAACCAATGACGTATAATATATAGACTCGGTGAACGCTTTAAAAAGTGTCCAAAACATGAATACCTTTGTTATTGTTTATTGTTTTGATACGAAGATACACGAAGTTCATGATTTTTTTTATATTCATGATATTTTATCAAAATAATTATTTCTCTTATAGATGGGAACAAAAAGAAATCATAAATATTTAATTTTAATTAAAAAAATAATTATTGTCATTAAAATATAAATGAACACGCCGCTGTTGTGATAAACATACCTTCAACCTTGAGCCGAGATCTTTCGGACACTCGATTCTATAGCGAGAATAGGGGACTGCGTAGTCTATATATTATACGTCATTGGGTACAACAGAGAAGTTCGGGAAAAATGACAACGGCAATTATTTAGGCCTTTTAGAGTTAATAGCCCAGTTTGATCCATTCCTGGATAATCACATACAAAAGTTTGGAAATCCAGGACGTGGAAATGTTTCATATTTGTCATCTACTATTTGTAACGAGTTTATTCACGTTATCGCTCGACATATTCGTGATTTTATTAGCTTCGAAGCCAAAACAGCGAAATATTTTTCCATTTGCGTCGATTCAACACCTGATGTGAGTCACTCGGACCAGCTTACTTTTATTCTTAGATATGTGTTATGTGACGGCTCTCCTACTGAGCGTTTTATTATATTTATAAGTAATATAGGCCACAAGGCAGTTGACATGGAAACTGCAGTTTTAAAAATTTTAACCGAACTAAAATTAGATCTTCAAGATTGTAGAGGGCAGTCATATGACAATGCTAGTAACATGTCTGGTCAATATTCAGGTTTGCAGGCTCTTATTAAAAAAAGAAATTCTCTAGCATTATTTATCCCCTGTGCAGCACATTCACTTAATTTAGTAGGAACTTGTGCAGCTGAATGTTGCAATATGGCCACTTCCTTTTTTATGTTTGTAGAAGAAGTATATAACTTTTCTCAGCATCCACGCATAGGTGGCAAATAATGATAAGAGAATTAAGTAACGTTTCCAATGCGCGCGTTCCTAAAAAGTTATCCGTTACTCAATGGTCTGCTCGTGCGGATTCTTGTAAAGCAATTACTTTAGGCTTCTCTGCATTTAAAAACGCTTTAATACTTATTGCAAATGATGTTACACAACCAATAAAAGTAGAGCAGAAGCAAATGGACTTAAAAGTCGTTTCGAAGAATTGGAAATGGGAATTTTATTACAACTATGGACTGATATTTTAACGGAGTTTGATAAAGTTAGTAAATCTTTACAGGCCAGAGATGTCGATGTTTCATTAGCAGTAAATTTATACACATCGCTAGTTGGATTTATCGCACAACAACGCGAACGTTTTTCGTATTATGAAGAATGTGGCAAAGCTCTTACAAACAGTTTAACGTATAAATTCGACAATAGACGAAAAAAAGGTAGAAAAATGCACTTTGGTGAAAATAAAGAGGGTGAAGTTGAATTCAGTGGTCGAAATAATATGCTTGTAAATACTTTTTATGTAATTATAGATAACATTGCTGAAGAATTAAAGAGACGTCAAAGTGCTTACGTTGATATTTCAGACATGTTTGGGTTTTTATATTTAGGTAGTTATTCAGATAAAGATATTAAAATAAAAGCAAATATTCTTCAGGAGCACTATCCAAACGATTTAGACCTAAGTTTAGGAGACGAGTGTATTCGATTTAAATATTTTCTTGAGAAATATTTTCAGATAATATCAGTCCAAGGGACATGTTACAATTTATAAGAGAAAAAAATATAACATCTAGTTTTCCAAACATAGACGTTGCACTAAGAATATTTTTATCTATGGCAGTTACCAACTGCTCTGGTGAAAGATCATTTTCAACCTTAGAAAGGGTAAAGAATCATAAAAGAAATTCATTAGGTGATGAAAAAACTAATGATCTTTCATTGCTGGCTATAGAAAATGAGTTATTTAATAAAATTCCCATTGACAATATAATTGAAAGCTTTGCTGCATTAAAATCAAGAAAACGAACATTTACTTAATGCATGCTACGATTGCTACGTCACCGAGTCCGTGACTGTATTAATTTTTATACATGTTTTTTTTTGTTTTCATTGAAAATGTTCCTTTGTTTGGTACCTACATATTTTTTTCTTTACCTATAAAAATGGTATTTAGTTTTTTCATATAAAATATATTTAAAAAACAACTATTTTGACTTTCTTTAAAAATGTGAGAGAAAACAAGACCTAGCAAGGAAGGGGGGGCCTCAGTCGCTTTTAGCCTAAGGCCCATCGTACCCTTAATCCGGCCCTGAGCATAAATATCAAAAGAATATCATTCAAATATTTAAATTATATTATGTATTACATGCTAAATTTTTTTTGCTTTTAGATGGTGGGTTAGACCGATTTTTCAAGAAAGAAAAGAAAAAGGTGCGTTTAGAAGTTTGTTTAATTATATGAAAATAAATGACCGTGAGATGTTTTTCAAATATACGAGAATGTTTCCTGAACATTTTGACTTACTTTTAAACTTGGTAAAACGTCATTTATCAAAACGTAGTAGACGAGAATATTTGTCTCCAGAACTACGACTTGCCATGACCTTAAAATATTTGGCACATGGAGGATCATTTCAAAATTTATCCTGGGAATTTCGAGTGGGACATTCTACAGTTTCCAAAGTAATTTTTGAAACTTGTGAAGCAATCTGGAATGTTCTAAAACCCATCTATGTAAAAAGTCATGATAAAATTGATTGGCTTCAAGTCAGCAATCAGTTTTTACATAGGTGGAATTTTCCACACACTCTTGGGGCTATTGATGGAAAACATGTACAAATTCAATGCCCAATAAATAGTGGCTCACAATATTATAACTATAAAAATCACTTCAGTATGGTTCTTCTCGCATGTTGTGATGCTGATTATAAGTTTTTGTGGGTTGATATTGGAGGTTTGGGATCTGAACATGACTCTGGAGTTTTTAAGAGATCTCAAATGGGCCAAGATCTTGAAAATTGTACCATCAAATTGCCAAATTCAGAAAATTTGCATGGGAGTAATATTGAGATGCCATTCTTTTTTGTTGCTGATGAAGCCATATATTATGAGGCCTTACCCAGGCAAGAACTTGGAGGAAAAAAAATTGGTATTTAATTACAGGTATCTTTATCAATTCTGCTATATGTTGGTTATTACTTAACAATGCTTTTAGATTATCACGTGCAAGAACAATTGAAAATTCATTTGGAATTTTAGCAAGTAGATGGAGAGTATATAGGTCACCCTTATTATGTTCTATAAAAACAACGGAGGCTATTGTTAAAGCTACTGTGTGTTTACATAATTATTTAAGGACTGAGGCATCACAAACTTATACTCCACCAGCATTGTTAGATACAATTTTAGAAGATGGTGAATTAGTGTAGAATAACAAAAAATGATACAAATTTAACCCCTGCTGGTCGAATGGGATCGAACATGGCTACAATTGCTGTAACAAGATTAAGGGATAGATTAGCAAACTATTTAATATCTGATGTAGGTTCAGTACCTTGGCAGCAAAAATATATTAATAGGGGAAGAATTTAATTTTTTTATTGTAACCAATGTATATACAGTATTATTCTTGATAAATAAATGTTACTCAACTGAAATGAAAATAATTAATTCTTTTGCATAATTTATTAGGTTAATCTGTATATTTTAACAATAAATCTAACACATCTTTTTTAAATTTTAATTTGTTTTTCGGAGTTAGTGATTTCATGTCTTCTAATACAGATTTCATGAAGTTTAGATCACTACTACTGTGTGCATCTTTTAATTTTGACTCACACATTTTATTAAAATTAGCTGCTGCCACAGTCATCATGTCCATTGCTTTTTTTCTGCTTTGGGTCTGTGTTGACTGTGGTAATTTTTTTAGTACTTCCTCTGGTGGAACATACTCTATAATGATTTCCTCTTCTTGAGGAAGTTCAATCTCCTTCACTGATTCCTCTAAATCTTCCGAAATATCAAGCCTACAAACCAAAATCACATTGTATAATTAAATTTAATACAATGAACTAACTTACTCAGTGTTAGCAGTAAATTTTGTTTCACTATTTTCTCCAACAGATGTAAAGCTAAAAATAAATTTATTATATATTTTGAAAATTATCAAGTATTACTTTGTTAACTAAATATTCAAAACATCTTACCTACAACTTGGATTGGTAGGAGAAGGTACTTTTCTTTTTGTCTCAGTTACTTCTGCTATGGAAGATGTTAACCTAAAACGTGAAAAAATATTTAAAAGAAAGTAGTATATTATGAATGACCTATATGTATGAATTCATAGTCAGAGGTTTAAAAAGTCAGGTACAATATATATTAAAAATTTACTCTGCACCAGTTTCTTTACACATAAATGATTTGTAATATATTATAATCTAATTCTTTTCATAGGATCCTACTTTATATGCAATGATACATGTGTCACATCTGAAGCACAATGTAATAAACTGTAGTTAGCAGTGTTTTAAGATATTACCAACTTTCTAGTATACTGCATATCCGTATAAAACATTGGAGTTATTGTTCCAAGAGATTTATATTATCAAAGAATATAGACGCTAAACCTCTATATTCTTTGATATTATCTTTAATAGGGAATAAAGAAATGACTTACTTTCTTTTTCTTATATATGGTCCCAACCAAAGCATTATATTAAAATAAATAAAATCAATTTCTTTTTTTGTGGAACCTCCAGCTGAACCTGATGGAGCTTTAGCATTATACTCCCGATATGCTCTAACGAAACGGTCTCTTAAATTCTCCCATCTTTTTTTAACTGTAGGAACTGTAATTAATAATAATTGTTTTACAAACAACCCATTGTATTAAATTTTAAAGCTTACATACCATCACATTGGCAATATTCTGCAATAGAACACCAACTATTGTTTTTTAATGTCTCATCTTTATATCCCTTACTACTACGATCATATCGATACCTTTTTGCCATAACATCGTAAGTGACAAATTTAGGGAAAACAGTTTTATTGAAGCATCGTATCTATCAAGCCGCCAGGCACCTCCCAGCAAAATTATTGTAAGGTATAATAGCATAGTCTTGGAGAAAAAACCGAATTTGCTGTAACGTAAGTCACATAAAAATGTGAAAAAATTTATTTTGTAGTTGTGAAAACATCGCATGGTCACCAAAACATCGTAAGGTGCAAGTCACGTGGTACAAAATTTGCTACTTACGATGCAGCGAAGTTCATTACGATCTATTAGTGAACTGTGTGTAGCCGCAGAGTCGGAACGTAAGTACCACAAAATAATTTTTTTGGTAATTATTTATGGTTTTTACTTTTGCTTTCGTTGAGATTTGTAGGAAACATTGTAAAAAATGTAGTTTAAAATCAAAATTTCCTTAACATACGTAGTTTTTTCAAATTATAGAGATTTCTTAGTAATAATTGTATTGGTGTGATAGGTAATGGTTGTTCTAGATTTATTTCGTCTCAAGAGAATCATAATCCTATCTTTTTGTATTATTTTGTAGTGAGTATTATAAGGTACTACAAGTTCCATATTTTATGTACAAGGTGTCTTACCTGGGTTGACACATTTTTGGTCAATATAGGATGTTTCATCTCACGCGTAATATTGCGTAAGGTTGAATAATACAAGATTTACTCCGTACTGATCGTACATGATGCAATGTTGCGTAATATTACGCAACATTGAGTAAGATTGAATACTACAAGATAAATCCCGTACCGATCGAGCTATCGGACGGCCACAACGTTAATAACACCTGGCGAAAATAAAATAAAAGACAAGAAGAATGGAGGCCACATATGGCGCACTTATAATTCAAAATAATATAACTTTTATAAGTAATATTTTAAAGTCGACAAATAAGATAAAATATTCTTTTATTTCAGATTATCGCCATGAGTAGTAGATCAAGACATCTAGTAAGATTAGCTCTTAGTTCTCAAGGAACAGAAGAATCAAATGCCATACCGTCTTTGGTAACCACTCGGTCTGAGTCTTCACATGAGTTGGAGTCACTCTCACTATATGTGGGAGACTCTAACTTTGACAGCGAATTATCTTCAGTTTCGTATGATGTAAAAGACTCAGCATCTTTGTATGAATCAAGCGAATTCGAAGAGATTCCACTGGTATCACAGAAGTCCTTAGACACCATTATAGACTCAACCACATGCTCTAGCACCAGTGTTGCTTCACAAGTTGGTCAAATCTCGAACTTGAAAGATTTACAATCTTCAGACGTGGTCGTAATTAGTTTAGACGAACCTATAATTTACCATATCACTGCCGACGGAACAGAAATAAAATCCAAATGTAATGTGCCAAGTTCTTCAGTTGATGATGACCTTCACCAGAACCAGCCAGTAGTTTCAACACGACCCTCTGTGAAACTCGTTGACTATGACTCTTCCAGTAGCGAAAATGATCAAAATAGTCGTACCTGTAATACAGCTAAACGTTTTCGTCGCCACTCTTCAGAATATTCCTTTGAAGAAAATATTAGCAATGGTGACAGCAACTCGCCTGACAATAAAGAAGATGCAATGGGAAAAACTTGTTTTAGGAAACAGAAAAAACCGTGCAAAAAGACAATAAGGAAAAGTAATCACAAGTTCGGTGCCAAAAAGTCTGTTAGAGAGAATCCTTGCAGTATTAATTGCCCAAACCAGTGTATTTCAAAATTTCCAGAGATAGTGAGAGAACATGTTTTCGAATTTTATTGGGGCTTGGGAAGCCTACACAGGCAACGAGACTGGCTGCTTTCATGCATAAAAGATGTTGAAATAAAACGTCGAAAACAAGAGGCTGCAAGAAGCAGAAGACAATGTTCGTACAAGTATATCATTAGGTGGAATGATGTGGAACACGAGGTGTGCCAACAATTTTTATTGAAAACCTTGGATATTTCACAAATGACTTTGAGATATACGAAAGAAAACTCTACGTCAGCCTCATTTTCCAAAATAGATCAGAGAGGTAAGCATGTTCCCCATAACAAAACTGGGAAAGAGCAGAAGCAGAATGTTTTAGATTTTATCACGTTGCTACCCGCTGTCCCATCTCATTATTGCAGAAATAAAACATCGAGAAGATACTTACCCACTGAATTTCGTAATGTATCATTCTTATACGAACTTTTTAAGAAGAAACAGATAGAAAATGGCATAACTAAGAACGATATCGTTTCCCTGCAAGTGTTCCGAAAGATTTTTAAGGCAGAATTTAATATCGGATTTCACTTGCCGAAAAAAGATAAGTGCAAAGTCTGTGAAGTGAGAAAAGACAAAGATTTTGAGGAAACAGAAGAAACAAAGCAATTGTATGAAAAACATTTGGAAAACAAAGAAAAATGCAAAGATTCATTTCTAGCTGATCAAAAGAAAACTATCTTAGATTCAAAATTTTTATGTGCTAGTTTCGACCTGCAGAAGGTGTTAAACACACCACATGGAGACAATTTGCTCTTGTACTACACCAGAAAGTATGCTTATTACAATCTTACGGTTTACGAAAGTGGAACCCAAAATGGGTTTTGTTATTTGTGGGGAGAATGTGACGGAGGACGTGGCAGTAACGAAATATCTACCATAATCTACAAATATTTGCAAGAAGTTGATAGAAGACAAACCGTAAAACATATATCACTAAATTGTGATAGTTGTTATGGACAGAACAAAAACAAGGCAATGTTTGTAATGATCTCGAGTTTTCTTAAGGATTCTGTTAATATAACATCAATCAGTGTGCGATACTTACTACCAGGCCATACTTATATGCCTGTCGACTCAGTTCATGCAACAATTGAGCGGTTTATCAAAAAACGCGTAGTATGGGCTCCATCAGAATGGTGTACATTGATATCCAACTCTCGTACCAAACCTAAACCATTTGAAACAATAAAAATGGATTTCAGCGACTTCTTAGAATGGAAAAAAATATCTGATGATGTACTAAAACCGAGTAAATTCAAATGTAAGAACGGAAAACCTATAAAAATCAGTGAAATTAAAAATGTAAAATTTGAGAAAGGTAACGCAGATATTATTATAGAGGTTGACTATTTAAATAATGGCCAGAACTGCATCAATTTCACGATGGAATTAAAAGGAAAAAAACCAAAACGGCTTTATTCTCAAAAATTGTCTATTTCCGTTGCAAAGAAAAAAGACTTAATTGATCTCTGCGACAACAATATAATTCCTCTCAGGTTTCAAAATGAATATAGGCTAATGAAAACGTCAGCTATGCCAGATAAGCTAGCAGAATCCGATGAGGAAGACGAAAGCGATGAAGGGCCCCAAGATTAGACTTTTGCTGACTAGCTATGATTCACATTTATTATACCACATGCAATAACATTAGATATTATGACTATTTTTGTAAGTTTATGACTAAAGCGATTTGTTGTTCAGTTAAATGCCTATTGTACTTTTTACTTTTCACAAATAAATTACCTTAAATAAACGATTTTTGGTATTTTTTTATGTATTATTTATGTTACTTTAAGGGGCTGTGTCTAAACATACTTTTTATCGTAAGTGCTGAGCTTACGATAACAATCACAATGTGAAATTATTTCTGAATTTACCAAAATTATCGTAAGTGTTGGACTTGTATAAAACTACAGTAGCAAAATTATTTTTGATGCTTCCAAAGTAACGTAAGTCCAACTACAAAAAAACTGAAACTATTTTGAAGAAAAATCATTACTTTACTTCAAACACTCATCATAATACGTCCGGATGCCAATTTTCACTTCAATTGGACATTTCTAAACACGTTTATTGAAAAAACTGCCGTACTGTAAAATTTACTAAACGAGACTTACGATGTTATGGCAAAAAGGTATCGATATAGATGAGGACATTTTTCCACTAAAGAAATTAATAATTCGGTAAACTCACTCATTTTAATTGAAAATATATAAAATGTTATACTACACGAGGTTTAGGTAATTTAGGTTACAAAATGCTAACATAGCACACTACCACCAAAGAATATAGACGCTTAAGCGTCTATATTCTTTGCTACCACCTAGCATTGAAACTTCCGTGTTGACGAGTAAAACAAAGATGACAATATAAGGAGCTCCCTAACTTTCGCGTGATTGGTTGGTGGGTGGGTCCCAATTTAAAAATTGGCGGGTTTCATGTTTATTAAAATGACAATTGAGGTATTGTCGGCACAGCCTATGTGGGTAAACAATTTGGCAATTTGGCGGTTGTTTGGCCACATTTGGCGCTTAAACATCTATGATTAGGCGGTTTTAATACCAATTTGCCAATAAGCAAGCACACAGAAAATTTCAATTTAAATTTTTCTCATTTATTTTTAAAAATCTGTTAAATTGTTTTAAAAATCTGTTCGTTAGAACACCATATTTAATTACCTAAGACTTTGTTTTAGCACATGATGAACATATCAGAAACCTACTGTGTGTGTAACAACTATAATAGTGTTAGAACGATTACAGGTGAAACTGCAAATTTTGTGTGAAAATGAGTGAAAATCCCATATTTATTCTCATTTCTGCTGGATTAGATTTAATTAAAGGTAAAGGAAAGAGGCAAATTGACTGATGTGTGATAAAAAAAGTACCAAGAAAACTAAAAGGTAAATTGTATAGGACTGCCTTTAGACCAGCTATGATGTATGGTACTAAATGTAGGGCAGTAAAAAAGGGGATGAACAGAAATTACATGTTTCTGAAAATCCATATACTCATACAAAAAGCGGAGAGGTACTTAGTCCCTGGAAGAGAACAGAAAAGTTTAGAAGAAATTACTTAGAGAAGCCGATTCCACATAGAGAAAGCTAATGAGAATAATAATGGTAATGAATGTTCTAGAAATAAAAATAATAAGAGGAACCTCTAAATCTTAGTAAAAAATTACCTAAACAAAAAAATTAAAACAATAATATCTATATATCTAATAAAAAAAAGCATCACTAGCTTTTAATTTCTAATAAAACTTTACTATTCAGCTTAATCCTAAAATGTGAATATCATCCGCTTTGTACCAATACTACAATATATTGCTAATAAATTGTTTACCCACATAGACTGTGCCACAATGACAATACCTCAATTGTCATTTTAATAAACATGAAACCCGCCAATTTTTAAATTGGGACCCACCCACCAACCAATCACGCGAAAGTTAGGGAGCTCCTTATATATAAAACTTTACTATAAGTATATAGTACTTTATTAAAAAAATATATTTTAGACAATATTTTTTGTACTGCTTTGTTTTTTGTACCACTGTTTTATTTTTATCTTTGGTTATTGTGATTTTCCCTTTAAACGTTTAAGAAATAAGTAGATATATTGATTTTATTTTATTCAATTCTTATGTTTTTTACCTTATGATAATTTAATATGACTTAGAAAATAACTTGTTAAGGATTTTTAACGGTGCTATTTTCCCACGCTCGACCACGTCATTCTTTATGTTACAAATAGCAAATATTAGTCACAGTCACCATATGAGAGCGACTGCTCCATTTTGAAAATGCTCCGTCAACAAGGCTTGTCACTGTCGCAAATACGATCTATGGACCAGC